CCTATGAGCTTTCAACAATACACTGTGTATTGTTGAAGACCTTCTAACAATACACTGTGTATTGTAGTAGGTACCTATGAGCTTTCAACAATACACTGTGTATTGTTGAAGACCTTCTAACAATACACTGTGTATTGTAGTAGGTACCTATGAGCTTTCAACAATACACTGTGTATTGTTGAAGACCTTCTAACAATACACTGTGTATTGTAGTAGGTACCTATGAGCTTTCAACAATACACTGTGTATTGTTGAACACCTTCTAACAATACACTGTGTATTGTAGTAGGTACCTATGAGCTTTCAACAATACACTGTTTATTGTTGAACACCTTCTAACAATACACTGTTTTTCTTTTCTTTTTTTAATTAGTTTACTTTTTGATTTGTAAACTTGAAATTGACATTTATTTAAATGAATTTATTGAAATTATTTTATTGATTTTATTGAATTTATAGAAAATGAAATTGAATTTAAATGCACAGTTGTTAGGTACCTACTACAATACACAGTGTATTGTTAGAAGGTCTTCAACAATACACACTGTATTGTTGAAAGCTCATAGGTACCTACTACAATACACAGTGTATTGTTAGAAGGTCTTCAACAATACACACTGTATTGTTGAAAGTGTATTGTTAGCTATACCAGGATTATCTGATTTATGCTATACGTTATGTCACTGTTGCTCGTTATTGGATGTTCACCCTGTGTCTGCTTGTCCTGTTCTGCTTCATCATCTGGCAGCTAGTGTCTCTTATAAGACATCATGCGAAACGGCTGGCAACCCAAGTGTTGTTGAATATGACTATCAGCTAATATATAACGGGAAGCTATTTCACAATTATCGATAAAATGCGGTATAAATAATAATAGCAACTTTTAATCTAAAGTCTGAAATTCTACCGTTTAATATCGGTGACGATAGCTTCTTCTATGTGCGTGTTTTATGGCTGCAGACCAAAACTCTTTGTCGGCACCAAATACAGCGTTAGCTTCATGATGGTGGTGGTCGTAATTGCCGTGCTTTACCTGAACAGACATGTAAGTATTCGTACACGCATGTACGTGCATGCGTGCGTGCGTGCTACGTGAGTAACTTTACTCAAGTAAAATAATGCATGCGTCAAAATACTCACGTGTGCGCCGGATTTTCGTTGCGTTTTCGGACGCATGCATCAAGAAACTCAATATCAAACATGTTTGATAAATTTTGACTCATGCGTCAAAATACTCAACGTGTGCGCGCTAGCTGCGTAAATTTACTCAACACTGGTACTCACAGCGCATGCGTTTAAATCATTGTGCGCCCAGTATTGGCTGCGCACAGTCACGTGATCTGCATTACCACTTATACCTTGAGTAATTTTACTCACGTGTGCGGCGGACGCTGAAGATATTTCTCGTGAGTATTTTGACGCATGCATCACTTTACTTGAGTAAAATTACTCACGTGTGCGCCGGGCTTAACAGTATTAGTCTTTCGTTGATTTACCCGAATAGACACGTATACACGCTTTACACGTGTATGTTGAAAATTTCTTCCTGTATTGCTTTGAATGCATAGTCATAATATATGTAGGTATATACATGCGTTACGCGTGCGCGCTAACAATATTACCCTTGCGCTGTCTTCGCTGAATGGACATAAACTTGCATAAACCTGCAAGTATACAAAGCAGTGAGGCGTACATTCCGGGTAACAGTGACATCTTTCAGTTGTTTAAAGCCGTTGTCAGACTAGGCGATTCTTGTTTCCGCTTATGGCCACGGTCACACTAGGGGGTGATTGTTGTCATTTTACCTGAATGGAAATCTAAGTACAGATACGGCCGGGGTGCGTTCATTTATGCGGTAAAACGTGGTATCTACGTGCAATGATCCACCCAATGATTGCATTCGTATATAACATGATGGCGCAGACACCACATGCTGCATGGCGTCACGCAACATACAATTCGATACCTCGTGCACTCGCGTGAGCGTCACCATTACACAATAATGTCAACCTAACTACCTATTAATGGCGGATCATCGTCGATCAGGCATTACAACGACGATAAAGCCAAACACAAGCGCATGATATACGTAATATCCGAGTATCGTTTATAGATGTATATATATATGCCTATATATGGAGAGAGAGAGAGAGAGAGAGAGAGAGAGAGAGAGAGAGAGAGAAATATAGGGAGCGATAAAATAAGAAAGATAAGGGGGTGGAGAGAAGCGTCTTGATATAATACGGTGATTATTCGCCTACTAATATAGCACTGCTGGGATTCTGAGTTTCTACCGCGATGCGCGTATACTCGGATCAGCCATGTTAGTTGCGTGATCGATCAGTTTAATTACTCATGCGCAGACAGACACGTAGTCTGCTCTCGAAAAAGTGCCAAACGCCCAATTGCCACTATGTGGGCCGCATTAGCAAAGAGAAGCACGCACGCGGGAAATGTGTATGTTGCGTTGTGTAAAGCTTTGTGATAAATCTCTACTGCTGTCAGCCATGTGCTATCTTTTGTTCACCTAGAACACGCAAGACATTTTGATTCGATGGCCTATATGATTACACTTAGGCCTACTTTATTAGTTATTGTAATTACCATATGTGATTTCCTTATATTATCGTCGTCGCTATACGTGTCGGTGTACAATTTTTTATTGTGGTGGCGGAAGCGTGCAACCATTGAGAGTTTCACTCCTATTAACGTCCTAATTATAAGTTGATCATGATATTCATTAATTTCCTTACAATGTTCTCACGAACGAATGACGTTCGCATCAAAGAAGTTTTCGAGAATAATTGCGCCGCTATTACATGTAATACAATATAATTCATATATAAATAAATAAATAAATGTGTATATATATATATATATAATAATATATATACTAATATAGAAAGAGAAAAGAGAAGAGAGAGAGAGAGACGAGAGAGATTGGTAATTCTGTACTTAAACTAGTTACTCCTAGTGTGCGTGAAGATCGGAGAGAGATTTACACAAGGTGAGAATGTCAGATCACTGCGTGAGACACCGCCTGTATCTACAGGAGAGTGCAAAGATCACTCATCTGCTGTAACATGTTTGTCTATGAGTTTGTCTTATTATTCTTGTGGTTGGGGGTTAGGATTGGACAGCGTGCTCAATCGGTCTGATATGTTTCGTGCACATACAACGCTGGCTATTTGTTGTTGAGTATCGCTCACTATTCTAGATCTACATTTGAGAATAGAATAGTCCTTTCTCGGACACACGCACACGTTGCATGCACACACACACACACGCACGCACGCCACACAGACACACGCCACACACACACACACACACAACCACACACACACACACACCACACACACACACACACACACATACACACACACACACACACACACCCACACACACACACACACACGTGCATGCGCACACGCACACATACTGCAGAGCCGTGGCTAGCGGATGGGAGCACGAGGGGCAGTTGCTCTCCCCGAGAAATGTGGATACTGGTTACAAGGTTGATCCAGCGTCCCTGCCCAGAATACACGCACGCACGCACGTACGCACGCAACGCACGTACGCGCACCACACCACACAACGCCACACGCACGCGACGCACGCACGCATGCACGCACCCACACACACATACACACACACACACACACACACACACACAACACACACCACACAAACACACACACACACACACACACACACAAACAAGGCCGTGAAGGCTATTCCCCGACGTTCGCAAAACCACAACCTGTTGTCTCCCGAATGTCTCGCTGTTGTGCTTACCCCTCCCTACTTCGCCTCCCTCCTCCCTCCCTCCCCGTTCCCTCTTCCCTCCCTCCGCTCCCTCACCTCCTCTCTCACCTGCCTTCCCTCCCTCCTCCTCCCTCCCTCCCTCCCTCCCTCCCTCCCTCCCTCCCTCCCTCCCTCCCTCCCTCCCTCCCTCCCTCCCTCCCTTCCCTCCCTTCCTCCCTCCCTCCCTCCCTTCACCACCCTACTTATTCCGCACAGTCACATCATCTTCACGTTTCCACGCAGATCGAGATCATGTCGCGCAAGCTGTTCCTGCGTAAGACGCAGGTCGCAGAACAGCGCACCGTCGTCGAGAGCATGCGTCGCAAAAACCAGGACCTCGTCTTCAATCTACTGCCGACACACGTCGCCGCGCACTTTCTAGGTGCCAAGAAGGAGGACGAGGTAGGAGGGCGCTCTCGTCTGTACATGTGAGATGCGTACATCGATCTTATACCCCGTACAGACTGCAAATTTGATATGGTATTGAACTGGTGCGATTCAGGGCGCGCGCCAAATTTTTGCAGTGTGTACACGCTATTCCGCTACTCTGCTATTCCGCTATTCTGCAGTGTGTACACGCTATACGCGCTGGCCCACACCAAGTTGGCCTCGCAAATGAAGGAGGGCCAGCCAGGGCCGGGATAAGTTATCCTGCACCAAGCTGTGTCTGCATGTACACAACACGCGCGCCAGAACCGGAGCTAAATCGCAATACGCATGCGCATAGCCTTATTTAGGTCACGTAATTGTACAATTTCTGTCTGCGGGGTGACGTAGCGAGCTGAACTGAGAACTGATGACTCATTTAATGTAGGATCAAATATGCAGTCTGTACACTACGATTTGGCGCGCGCCAGTTTAATATCATAGCAAATTTTGTAGTATGTACGGGGTATTATAGTAAGGTTGTTGAGTAGGTGCACCGCGTTGCGTGCTATGCAGATGTGGTTAGAGCTTGGATGAGAGGTAGGGGCATGAGGCCCGTTGTCAGAAACAAATTTAATTAACTGTCTTAACTTTCTGTCATAGGCCGTTGACAGAAACGGTAAAACTACAAGTTTCTCGTACGCGATGTATACGGAGTGGTCTGGTCTATGTAAAAAAAATTTAAAAATTATAAAGATTTAGATACAGACTGATCTTGTTTTTAAATAACGGGCCCCAGGGTTTGGGTTACTATTAGTGCGTGGTTTATGGCTAAGGGTTACAATTATTAGGGCCGCAGCGTCTATTTGTTCAGCATGTTTACTGCTATAATACACACATTCAGATACACCGTTTAATTATGCCATTCTTTTCATTCAATTTTTATTCACAATTGATTGTTCACAGCACGTTTCACAAATACTGGAAAACATTTTGATTATTAAAAAAAGAGTGTTTAGGATAATGGGTTAAGAAGAAATGCAATGTTACTACCGGGAGAACCAGACAATTATTGCACATTGCATAGCGCGCTAAGAAATATTTCGTTAGTAATAGACTTCGATTTGGTTCGTCTACGTTTTCCAGCATTTTCTCCAACCTCAATTTTTGCTTGCTCAATCTAAGTAATGCTTTTTACGTGGATGGTGTACGATGCAGACGCGCAAAAACGTCAGGACATGCTGTGACAACGTTTTAATCGGGTTGGGGTTTAGCCATCGACATTTTGCCGAATTAATAATTCAGCGGAAAAGAACGCAATGCTAACTTTTCCCAGTTTGCTGCATCCGGCAAACAACCTCGCTTCCATCCCCTTTTAAAATTAAGATCTATAGACTAGATCGCAAGCAACGCCATCTATTTTGTGAGAATTTGTAATGTGTGTGATAGCGTGCGGCATCGTTTTCTTTGCGGTGTATATGCTGTATGAAATAAATGTAACCAACGTTAAATACGCTCCTCTTTCTCTTTCTTTCTTTCTTTCTTTATTTCTTTCTCTCTCTCTCTCTCTCGATATCTTCTTTAGCTCTCGCACTCTTTAATTCCTGCTCTTATTTTTATTTATTATTTATATATATAAATAAGCACATTATTTTTCTTTTGCACAGGAACTATACGCACAGTCATACGACGAGGTTGGGGTCATGTTTGCCTCCGTGCCAAACTTCAGTGATTTCTACAATGAGGACGGAGCCAACAATCAAGGAATAGAGTGCCTTCGATTCCTGAACGAAGTGATATCCGATTATGACGCTGTGAGTGCGCACGCGCATATAGTGATGGCGTAACGCCCACGTCATCCACTGATCTATATCTAATATATATATATGATACTATACATAATATCAGGAGTTAATAATGACAAATTTGTCATTATTAACTCCTGATAATATATAGATATATTCAAGAGCTAATAATACCTAATAGCTAATATAAATTACATACACACACGTGCACGCACGCACGCACGCACGCACGCACGCACACACACACACATACATATATATATATATATATATATATATATATAGAGAGAGAGAGAGAGAGAGAGAGAGAGGGAGGGAGGGAGGGAGGGAGGGAGGGAGCGAGAGAATTTATATAGATATTAGTGCAACGTCATCGCGTCTCGTTATAATGCCACTTGCAGCGATTGTGTTTGTTGTGGGGAGATGACGAGCGTCCGACCTTTTAAAATATCAGTACGGCGCCTATGCGTGCGTGCGTGCGTGTCTCATACTATAAACCAGCTGCGAATTGGTCAGAAAAAATGATGAAATCGGCATCCCAACCACATCCCGCAGGCTATGGAATCGTAGTAGCTATTAAATTAGGGAGAACGCACACGCGCGGGGCAGGTCGTCGGCTCTGATCATCTGCCGCTACTGCTTAGGGGTTAGCACGCTTAGGAGTTAGTGCGGGATATAGAATGTCAAACGACAGCGAAAAACACAACCATTTGTGTGTGTGCGTGCGTGCGTGCGTGCGTGAGTGTGTGTGTGTGTGCGCGCGTGCGTGCGTGTGTGTGTATGTGCAGGGGCGTAGATAGCGGGGGGGATGGGGGGATGCATCCCCCCACTTATTGACGTGGGGGGGAGGATGGCGTGTACAATCATCCCCCCCTACTTTCAAAAGGAAAATGGGGGATTCAAAATTTTCTGGGGGAGGACCCGCATACCCCCGCATGTTTCTTACTACCCTCCTCGAAATCCTGCATTGGCCACTGTCGAGCGTAACAAATTTAGCACCCCCACTTCAAAAATCGTTCCGCGGCGCATGTAGAGTACTGCTAACAAAGATTATGATTATGAATATTTGTATGCATATCAAAAGTCAAATTTGAGTTTATCTGACAGGGGCGTAGATAGCGGGGGGATGGGAGTATATCTCCCCACACTTATTGAGGTGGGGTGGCTTTCATCACCCCCTACTTTCAGAAAGAAAATGGGAAAAAATTTAATATTTTACAGACAATAAATACTGGATATTTATCTTCAAATCCGTCATCGCTATTCATACTCTCCTAATGAATTATTACAGAAATGGAACGTGACATACATCTTATGTAAAATGGCTGTAATTCGTTCCAAGAATGACATTATTTTACTGAAACTCAGACGGTTAATTTTGGACGCATTGCCCATTTTCAAAATCCCCAAATCACGTCTTATCACTGCTCACGAAAGTTAAATCCTTGCTTTATTTAAAATTAGAATAGACCTATTGAGAGTTGGGATATTGAATTTTCAGGGGGGGTTGAATGGGAAAATTCAATTTCGTCTCACTTTTTGGGAGGGGGGATGGGGGTGCTGAGACTCGACCGGAAGTATATTCCCGATTTTGTATAAGGGGTGAAAATATGCACTATTTGGTTCGAATCTGGTTGTTTTTCTCATATTCTTTTGCAGTTTTAAGGTTCTCACTTCTCATAGTAGAGGACCTGGCTAAGATATGTATGCACATAATTTAGGAGAGAATATCTCAATTGTTATTGGCTAATATGACCCCAAGGAACAGCTTGGGATGTGTGCCAAAATCTCTATCCGGGGCGAACAGCCCGAAAATGACCACGCCCTTTTTCATCGAAAGTGCTACGACCGACATAGCTGTATCTTCTAAACCGTTGGAGCTACAGATTTTCTGAGGTGCTCAAAATGTTCAGAATGGCCATTACATGCCTAGGGGGTCATAGAAGAGTGTGAAATTTGATATTTCACGAGAAAATGGCTAAAAACCATTAGGTCAACTTAGTACCATACAAACAACTAACTACCTACTTACTGGAATTGCCATATATTTATAACAGTTGATATATCCTCTCCTAAATTATGTGCATACTCCTCTAAGAAGTTCCCACACCTCTACGACTGCTACATGAACGGTGGATTTGTCGTGAACACCACCAGGAAAGGCAGTGGAGTGCACTTTGACCAGGCGCTAGAGCAGCGCTACAACCGCCCTGCCAAAGTGTTTGGGGGATAATTGGGGTCACCAGGAAGAAGGAAGCCGTTGCTCTGTGGGGAATCATCAAGCATAAAAAAGACCAGTACGTTGACCTGAAGATGAAGGATGATATCAAAAGAGAACTCTTACTTCACCACGAGTTCAACCCGAGTAATGCAACTAAGATAGTTGGGATGGTGCAAGACATAGAGGAGTATCTCCTGAAGGTATGCAGCCCTCTACAAGACCAGGTAGCGCTGAAGAATGTTCTCACTGGAGAAATTGTGACCGACGTAAACGTAGACAAGTTGTTGCGCTGTATCAAAGAGGGCAGTGCTGCATGTGCTAAATTTATCGATGATCGACTCAGAAATAAGTTGATATTGATACACTCAACTATTAGCAAAATCAAGTTTAGGTCCTCTAAGAGTAAGACCAGCTTGAATTTGGCTCCCAAAGCAGACATCAAAAATGAGACAATCAAAGCTCTCATGTTTATTGAGTATGGGTGTCACCGGGGGTTCACTGTTGAAGAACTACTCCAGCATGAGATTACTAACTCTGCGTTCTTCTTGGTTGACAAAGATGGTTACTTGAGGAAGAGTGCCAAATCACAACTTGGGACTGAGCTGATGAGGTTGTGCCCACTGATAGATAAAAAATGGCCAGAAACCTCCCCACACACCCACGCCATCGTTATCGACTTCATGGCCTTGGTGAGAAAGGTCCCGTTAAAGAAGCTTGATCCGCCTGTCAAGACATTCCATGACTTTGCTATTGCCTTGACATCTATGGTCACCAAAGCTGGGCACAACTGATGAGATCCACATCGTTTTCGACGCTTACAGAGAGGACAGCATCAAGAATGGAGAGAGGGAGAGAAGAGGAAAGTCAAAAGAAATGGTTGTCCTTGATGCGATATCACCGAACCAAAATGTGCCAGTGGTATTAGAGAACTTTTGGTCGTCTTCCATCAGCAAAACTGCTTTCCATGCATTCTATGTTGAGTGGCTCACCACCAATTACCAAGGCACCAAACCTCTATACCTTGGTATATCACCACAGGCATGGATGGTGTCAGCTGGGTGTGCATCTCCATTTTCTTGGCTCAACTGCACACATGAGGAAGCTGATGACAGGATGATGTTCCATGTGCAGGACATTCTAAGTCACCGGTCAGGAGCTACATCCATGATGCTGTCATCAGGTGACACAGATGTCTTTGTGTGCCTGTTATACCACATCACAGTCAATTGGAGAGATCTTGGCCTCCAAGACCTGTCTCATCCGCAACTCAGTAGTGAAAATATCAATATTACCACTCCACGATATCTGCATAGCGCTGGGAGACGAGCTGTCTAAGTGTCTCCCAGCACTCCATGCGCTGACTGGGTGCGATACAACCAGCAAGGTATCAACTAAACTTTGAGCCCTGAACGCTGTCCGCAAACCGGAAAATTCCTCTCTGATCCTGAATTTCGACTGTCCACAGCTAACAGAAAGCGCAATACAACTGGCGAAAACATTCTTGGTCAAATGTCTCAAACCATCAACAGACCTGAAGACATTTGACGACCTGCGTCTCGCTGCATTTGATAGCAATGCCCTCAAGATGAACTTTGAGAGAACCACTTGCACCTCAACTAATGGAAGCAAACATATCCATAGAGCCTATCACCAGCAGCAGCTGTGGGTCCAAGCCCCATTTAGAGATGCCACTTTGATTATGAATGCCGAGTCTTATGGTTTTGTAAGAAGGGGCAGTTTATTAGTCCCTGAGATTGTCATCTCAAAACCCGATGGCCTGCCAGATCCTTGCACGTGAGGCAAGTGTGCTCGCAAGAATGGGTGTCCCTGCAGGGTAGCTGGGATCAAATGTTGCAAGTACTGCAAATGCAAGGGAGGTGATTGTTGTAAAAACCCTATCACTGAATGAACACTGCTCATCATCCTCATACGTGGACTCTGTTGTGTTACTCTTCGTGTTCCTGACCTTGGTTTATGTGACACATAAACAGTACCGATACTAATGTGGTGTTAAAAGTTGTATTGTTGGCTGTTGGGCAATTTCCCTGCTGATCTTTGAAACATTTAAGCTCTCTATAGAAGACACAAATGTTCTAACTCTGATCTAGGTCCGGAAAGTTTAAGTTAAGAAATATATGGCAATTCCAGTATGTAGGTAGTTAGTTGTTTGTATGGTAATAAGTTGACCTTGGCCATTTTCCCGTGAAATATCCAATTTTACACTCTTCTATGACACCCTAGACATGTAATGGCCATTCTGAACATTTTGAGCACCTCAAAATATCTGTAGCTCCAACGGTTTAGAAGATACAGCTATGTCGGTAGTAGCACTTCCGATGAAAAAAGGCAGGGTCATTTTTAAAAGGGCGTGGTCATTTTCGGGCTGTTCGCACCGGATAGAGATTTTGGTACACATCCCAAGTTGTTCCTTGGGGTCATATTAGCCTATAACAATTGAGATATCCTCTCCTAAATTATGTGCATACATATCTTAGCCAGGTCCTGGACTATCAGTAAAATATACGTTTTATCAAAATTTCAGGTGGAGATGATTCCAGTGCTGTAGTTGTCAACGGGGGGTCGGTAGCGCAGGGGGCGGTCGCCCCCCCCCTAGAATTTTCAGGGTAACGGTATTTTAGCCTAGGTAAGTCTGCACTGGCAACCCCAGTGAGAACATGTACATGTATAGCACAGATTTGGTAGTAAGCATTTTAGTCTTTGGTGTCCCCAAAGGTAAAAATACTCAACTCAACAGTGATGTTATTGTGATGAGGACTGTTTAATATTGCTGCCTCATAGTGCAGGAAATTGCATCGAAGAGGTGTTACTTTAAACAAAATTTCCGGGGGAGGTCCCCTGGACCCCCCCCCCCTAAACAGGAGGGGGACACCCCCTGAAGGAGGAAAAATCCTGATATTCTATGATAAAGATGTCCAAAATTGATTGCTTTTAGATTGCAACTTTTTAACAATTCCCCACAGTGCGCGCTTCGTGCCCTTGAGCTCGCATGATTCGCCCCCCCACCCTAGAATTCACTTCTGGATCCGCCACTGGTTGTGTGTGTGGGGGTGGGGGGTGCGTGTTATTAAACCTCTGGGATCCAAAGAAAAAAATTACCCTCGAATTCACAAAATTGCACTTACAATATCAATTTTTTTCAATTACCACAAAAACGACCATCGTGAAGGTTCTAAATTGCTAAAATCCAAGAGCTTCCGGGGGCTCCGCCCCCTGGACCCCGGGCAAGGGTTCTGCCCCCTGGACCCCGGGCAAAGGTTCTGCCCCTGCACCCCATCCATTAAGGGCTTTGCGCCAAGGCGCTCGCGGTGTGCGCTACTCGCCCACACTCTTCATATACATTATGATGGAAGTAACAGCGAAATCATCCCCCCCCCACAACTGAGGAGCTGTCTACGCCACTGTGATAGCTGTGGCGTGTGTTCTGTGTCGTGTTGTGTGTGTGTGTGTGTGTGTGTGTGTGTGTGTGTGTGTGTGTGTGTGTGTGTGTGTGTGTGTGTGTGTGTGTGTGTGTGTGGGTGTGTGTGTACGTACGTCGGTGCGTGCATGCGCACGCGTATGCAACTACTTCCGCAGAATGTTCGTGTTAGCTGTTTAATTTGGTGCGTTTACGGCTTCAGTAACACGGCTTTCCATTGTCTAACCGTATTATTGCGTTTCCCTTGTGGCGCACACAGCTGTTGAGCGAACCGATGTTTCACAACATCACAAAGATAAAGACGATAGGATCTACCTACATGGCGGCGAGCGGCATGGCACGCTCTATCACGGCAAAGTGCACGGTACGTTTATACATACAGACAGGGTGACATAGGCAATTAATTCGTGTATTATTGGGCTAGGGCGTGTTCTAGTGTACGCCCGAAGGTACGCACACACGCACACACACGCACGCACGCACGCACGCACGCACGCACGCACGCGCGCACACACACACACGCGCGCACACGAACGCGCCCACACACGCGCGCCAACACACGCACTGAAATGTCGGCTGAAGAAGGAACAAATGCAGTATTTTGTGATACATTTGCAACGCAGTTTTTTTTATTTAAAATCCTTTTCCATGCGCAGAAACTTCGTAAAGTTACGATTAATTTTAAGACTAATGTTAATGTTAAGAGAAAAGTTAATAGCGTTGACAGAAACCTATCGTAACTAAACTTACTTAAGTGAAAACTTACGATAACAGGAACTTCATCACGAGGCTGCTGATTGGATGAGAATCGATCACAAAATTCAAATTCATACACGGCTCAAAATATGCTAATGGGTTACAAAGGTGTTTCAAAAGGTTCCAAAATAATTGTAATAATAATTCTGTACAACCAGACAAATTCTCAGACTGTAACACGGCAGCCGGCTGAAAGGGGTGGTAGGATATGTTTACTAGGCACTTCTAATTTTAACATATATTTTAAATTTAATTAGGGTCAGGGTTAGGGTTAGGGTTAGGGTTAGGGCACTTTTTAGGGTTTTTGCATCATTCTTTAATATATCGTAAAATATATGTTAAGTGCCTAGTAAACATATCCTATCACCCCTTTCAGCCGGCTGCGTAACACGAGACGCGAGAGTCGTGTGGTCAGTGCAAAAGTATTTAAAACAAGAGAACAAATGCCATACGCCATTTGTAAATGTTTTGAAACTTTTGTTTTGCTTTACGATCGGTAGATAATTAATGTTTTTGACGTGTTTTTCAGGAAAAACACATGATATTACTCATTAATATAAAATATAATATCACTATAACTGTAATTCTTAGTCTAAATGTGTTATTTTCATCTTAATATTAAAGTTAAGGGAGGGTCTAGGATCTCTTAAGTTAAGACAAAAGTTACGAGCATTTTTAATTCTCTTAACTTTACGAAGTTTCTGTCAACGCTCTAAGAGAAAAAGTTAATGTTAAGGTTAATGTTAAGACTAATTTGTTTCTGACAACGGGCCCCTGCAGGTATTTAAGTGCACGGCACTCGGAGAAAACGCAACAAAATTATAGGAGGTAATGGACGTGTTGTCGTTTCTGCTACAGTAACTGCCATCGTGAATAACATGACAATGCTACTGCCAAAAGAAAGAAGAAAGAATCCTATCTCGAAAATTGCGTCTCGGCGCGGTTGTTGTTACTGGCGGTAAACTCATTGATCCTAATTCTTGATGAGCGACAGCGGTGTCATCTCTCGAGAAAACGAGAAGCTTGTACCGCTAGTTACCTCCGCAAAAGGGTTGGCAGGAGGTTATGTTTTCACCGGTGTGTGTTTGTTGATTTGTGGGTTTGGGCGTTTATTTGTTTGTGTACAGCCTAACTGAAAAAGTTATGGACGAATTGTCATAAATTTTTTAGGATAGGTCAGAAATGTACGGTGGCCCAGTGACGCCATAGCGATTTTCCGTTATATTTATATATTTTTTTTATTATTAAATTATAAATAAAAAATGAAAAATTTAAAAAAAGATAATAAACAAATATAACTACTGTTAATCACCGGAAAATCGCTATGGCGTCACTGCGCCACCATAGAAATGGGCTAACTTAGGATTGATTAGATTTTGGTGGTGATCCGGATCCAATTAATTAATTAATTAATTAATGCAATTTTCATGATAGGTCAGAAATGGGGTAACTTAGAATTGATTACATTTTGGTGGTGATCCGGATCCAATTAATTAATTAATTAATTAATTAAATTTTCAGGATAGGTCAGAAATGGGGTAACTTAGAATTGATGACATTTTGGTGGTGATCCGGACCCAATTAATTATTTAATTAATTTATTAATAAAAATTTTCACAGTGAGAGAATTGAGCTGCCTTGGCGGAGGTCTGCCCTCTCCGAGTGCTCTAGTTATACTTACTATAGGCCGACGGCTTGAAATATTACACCCAATCACGAGTATTTTTGTGCGCACTTCAAACAAGTATGAGCAAGTACAAACGCACAACCTATACGCACAATTAACCTTTCTCGGGATATATGATTGATGGCGTTATTTAAGTGCGAATGAAGAAGGCAAAATCAGCTTAGAAGGCAAATTAGCTAGGCGTGTCCAATATTGAAGAAGCATGCAGCACTAAAAAGTCATGGGCAGCTAGGAGAACAGGAATTGGAACAGGAAGTCAGCGTTCGAAATTAAAAGCCAGTGTTTATGGGTGTAACAAACAATTGCCCATTCATTTAACTCGACTGATGTATAGGGAGTACCTATATGGCGGGCATGTTATAATTGCAAAAAAATGGAGATAATATAGACAGTACACGGAGCTGATTTTACCGTGAAAGATGAATATATACACAAAAGGTTGTTTGATTATTTTAATTTTTAACGATACAGACGTACACTTCATTTATGAATAATAATAAGGGTGCCTTACGCGTGGGACTTATAATAATATATATTTAGGGCATAATATTAAGGGTGCCTTAAGGGTGGACACTTGTACGTAAGGGAGTGGCACTTTAGCGTACAATTAGCGTGCCTGAAGCTTGGGGCTCTACTGAATTTCCCAACCCTGAAGGACCAAAATTCAAATACTAATATATTGAAGCAATACAACGGAATTATGACCAAAGCATTTTACAATAGGTATTAACTTTATTTGGCACAGGGACTGTTCGTGTAAGCTCCCCATGGCTACCACTCCCACTACCACTACCACTACCACTACCACTAATAGTACGAAACAACTGTGTGTCGTCGGCCCAATGCTTCCTATGTAACGTTATAATCCGTGTATCAAAACAGAAGAAAATACATACAAAATACTACACCTAAGGGGGGGGGGGAAGTAGACAATCTAGAATGGGAAGCATTATCTTCAGGACGCGGGAATGGACCATTTTAATTATGTGGGAATCCGGAAATACCACGTAAATTTTAAATCAAGATTTTTAGGACGTAAAAGAACTAGGAATGGCGTTTTGATACTAGGAAATGGCAAATTCTTTACCCGTGACACTGGGAACGCCCCCGACCGGTTCTCCCCTTCAGCCCAGTCTTATCTGCCGTTTACGTGTGTAGGACACGACGCAGGTGACGGAGCGCTGGCAACATCTCATGGAGCTCACAGAGTTCGCGATGGCGATGAAGGAGACGCTGTGCACGATCAACGCTCAGTCGTTCAACAACTTCGTCCTGCGGATAGGTAGGTATACGTATATCGATCTCGGCGAGACCATCGCCGGCAGCGGCATCATCATCAACATCATCAGCAGCAGCAGCAGTAGCGGCATCATCATCATCATCATCCTCATCAGCAACAGCAGCGGCATCATCATCATCATCAGCAGCAGCAGCAGCAGCAGTAGCGGCTGCGGCATTAGACACCACTCTCCCCCTGCGCGCGAGTGGTGATGTGCGCGAATGTGCCCACACACGCGAGCGCGTACGCACGCGTGCAGGCACGCACCGCACGTACGCACACACAACCACTTCTCGGTCCACGTACGTGTACATCTGCGTCCGCATGTGTCGTCGTGCGTCTGTATTCGTGCAGGGTTATGCGTGCGTGCGTGTGCGTATAGATATCAGCGTGCGCGAGCATCCATCAATGTTGCGCATGTAAGGTATAGAGGAAAACTAATGGCTTCGTTAGACTGTTTTTCGTCGACGTGTGTTATGCCTGAATACTGCGAAATGCAACACGAATGACGAAACTAATGATAGACGACAGTAATCAATCGGGCTAGCCTGCATCTATGTGGGTGTATATATATATATATATATATATATATATATATATATATATACTAT